AACCTTTATTTTAGATTACACGGTCTTGTGTATTTACCTACTAATAGAACAAATACAACCTTTATTTTAGATTACGCGGTATTGTGTATTTACCTACTAATAGAAAAAATACAACCTTTATTTTAGATTACGCGGTATTGTGTATTTACCTACTATTAGAACAAATTCAACCTTTATTTTATATGACTTTACACGGTATTGTGTATTTACCTATTATTAGATCCAATTCACCTCTAATCGAAGCTACAGAGTATGTAGGTTATTACTTTTATAGCTACACTGCATTTTTAATTATCATTAAAATGTGGAGCTCGTATCAGCAACACAAATAACAAACAAATGAGATGCATCATTGTAATATTAAAAGAGAAGCTATTCACCAAAGTCTAAATCCATTTAACTTATTTTAAAAGTTTCATTGTTTACAATTTCGGTCCAGGACTACAACTTTTGTTTGCATAGCCAGCTTCCAGAAATTCAGCTTTCCACAGCGTTTATCCGAGACTATATATATATATATATATGTTGTTGTTAGATAATCATCTTTTAGGAGTTCCATTGTTAACATCACTGATCCTAGAATAGAGGCCATATTAACATAACAGTTTTCTACAGGATCCTATGTTCACAGTTTTGATCCAAGACTAAAAGTTGTGTTTATAAATAGCCATTGTTTAGAAGTTCAGTTGTTTACAAAAACCTAGAATAGAGGCCATATTAACATAACAGTTTTCTACAGGATCCTATGTTCACAGTTTTGATCCAAGACTAAAAGTTGTGTTTATAAATAGCCATTGTTTAGAAGTTCAGTTGTTTACAAAAACCTCATCCACGAGTACAAGCTTTTTCGATTACATATAACTATGTTAGTTCTCACATTGGCGGAAGATGGCGCTGTAAGACAAGAATTACGTAGAGGTGAGTGTTGCAGTGCGGCGGTGCAGCAGTTCGTGTATCTGTACTACTACAGCAAACACCTAGGGTATCTGCTCTCCTGTCTACGCTCTTCAATCTAAATGTTAGACATGTCATCTACTGGATTTACCCCCTGTCTGACAATCATTTTTCTACTTATCTATGGGCAAGGTGAGTAGAGTAATAACCCAGTATTCAAATGTAATGTTTTATCCCTGTCAGTTGATGACAATACTTTATTAAATACTTAGCTTTGTCCCTCTCTCTCTTAGTTTCATGCACATCTACCTTTAGCTGATGGCGTGGTATTCGAATCGATCCACCGAATTATCGCAAGGTAGCTGTCTGTCTAGCGGCGACAACAAGTCGAGATCCCCGCAAATGTAACATAACGTATAGAACCAGATGCTCGGACTCTCTTCGGTAATAGAAAATATTTTCCCGGGTACCATCGATAAACTACACTTTAATTATACAAGACAGAAATATATGTATAAATGGTTGCGATAATTTGTCCGTAGTACTTATTTTTGTGAAGTCTCCCAACCTTATAAAATCACGGGTTTGGTCTTTATCGTATCAGCCTTGTAACTCGCTTAAATGTGTACAAGTATTAGCAGATACATTGTGTATATTTATTTCAAAAAGTAATTTATATATATATATATATATATGCTTGGGAAACGAAGTATTTCTTTCGAGTTGTCAGTTTATTTTCTTCTCATTTTTGAGCCTACAGGCAGCACATCGGTAAGTCTGAGGGCTTTTAACTCTAAAAAATCGAGTTTCGATACCCGCGGTGGTCGGAGCACAGATAGCCCATTGTATAGCTTATTTTAGAGTTTTGAATGGATAATTCCGAAAAAACAGCTGATTTATCTGATGATCGTACCTCTGCTAACGTGTATACGTGTGTTAAGTAGACACTTTGAAAAAGGAAAACGTAAAAAAAAGACCTAAATAAATTATTTTCAAGTTTATTTTATTATTGTTATTATTATTTTAATGGTACTTATATATTTAAGCAAGCGTGTTGTTAGTTCAAATGTACGGGTATCGGGGATGCGAAAACTCGATATTCATATTTATCATTCTTATTTTGATATTAGGCGGCGCCCATTATTTGTAATATACGCGGTTTAATTATGCCTAAGTAAGTTTATATGCAATGCTCATGTAAAGATTTCCCAACAGTCAAACCGTACCTGTCACTAAACAAAACATATACGTTTCACCAACAACACTCCTCATATTTGCGTGGTATCTCGCCACCTGTAAGCACAAAGACTGTACAGAATTTCGTACTAAGACCAGGTAGACAAACTTTTTGTTTCGGGAGAAGGCATGCGTTTCGTAATACAACTATACGACGGTGACGTTGCTTGGTTATAGCTTTTGATTGGTTAAGAACAGCGTCTTTTTTTATATTCAAGATACAGCAACACAAAACTATGAACTTATGAAATATATATATAAAATAAGAAATGTGCTATATATTCCATTACTTGTAACATATCTGCAACAAAATGTAAATTTATTTTGAAATCTTAATATGATGAACAAAAATATTATATCAGTCTATTTACCTGTGTATTTATTCATGTTCAGTACTCTGACGTAACTGCAATAGCTACAGCATTTAATGCGGTATTATTGAATGCTTTTATCCTTATTTGACACCAAAAGTCAAATTTCAGAAACGCTATGCAATTCCAGTTTCAAACCGCCGTGTTTTAGGCTTAGTCTGCTGATATGTTTTACTATAAGTGTTAAGTTACAGGAATTACAAAACGTTATGTTACATTGCACTTTGCTATGAAATATACTGAATAGTAGTAGTGGTAGGGAAATAAAATGTCCGCAAAAGGATCTCAGCTTTACCTATACAACAATGCGTTATCTGTTCACATTTATAATAATTCTATATACTCGAACCATAAATCTTGTAATTGGTAAGCAAGTGTTAGAATCAAAGTAGTAGTGTTTGAGTTTTAATTTCAGCTAAAATATGTTTTACTGTTTAATAATTCCTTTGTAATGAATGACATTTGTTTCTGCTAGTTGTGATCCTGTTTGTCGTTTCCTATAGTGATAGATTGAGTATTACGTACCAAAAAGTGAACTTCAAATTAAACTTGCCTAAGGTGTATTTAAATGCATAAATAAGTAAAAAGAAAAAACAAACTGGAAGTAATTAGCAATTAATATGCTGTTTAATAAAACTTACTCTAGTTTAAACATTAGTGCAAGAAACATTATTATATTTGAAAATTTCCTGAGTGAACAATACATCTGATACTTTGATTTTGAGTGCACAAGTTTGTGTTAAAACTTTGAATGACGAATTTCTTAGCTTTAATCCAACACAACATATAAAACAATTGACTACTTTTCAATAGTAATAAAGTTATTTAAATGTTTAACATGTTTTTAAACCATGTACCCAGCTTATAATGTTTTATGCCTTCATCTACTTATCTCTCCTTTGATGTGGCCCAGCATGGCCAGGTGGTTAGGGAGCTCGACTCGCAATCTGCGGGTCGCGGATTCGAATCCCCGTCCCACCAAACATGCTCACCCTTTCAGCCGTGGGGACGTTATAATGTGACGGTCAATCCTACTATTCGTTGGTAAAAGAGTAGCCTAAGAGTTGGCGGTGGGTGGTGATGACTAGCTGCCTTCCCTCTAGTCTTACACTGCTAAATTAGGGACGGCTAGCGCAGGTAGCCCTCATGTAGCTTTACGCGAAACTTAAAACAAACAAACATCCTTTGATGTTTTGTTTTCTGCCTATCATAGTCCAAACAATTATCTTTATACTCGTGTATGGAATGCTTATGTAATAGCAAATTGACAAACAACGATTTATAAGTATAATGAAGCGATTTTAGTTTGGAAAACATACTACATGTTTCGACTGAACGTTGATTTGTCTTTTACTTGACATGTATTATGTTTTCCAAAATAAAACCTCTCCATTATGCTTATAAATAATTGTTTTTTAATTTTTTATTAACCTTCTATTCTTCTTATGTGATGTGACTGTTTCATTAGTAAAAGCGCTGTAATTTCTAGCGGTTTCTTCGAGATAAACAAAATTATTCTAAGAATTTCTCTTAGTGTCTTCAGGTTGTCGCGTAACAAAAGTGCGAAAAGCCTTAATGACGAGACTTTTCTGTTCTTTCATAAAGCCCATTTCGCACTTCCGATGCAACCACTTTTGACGCGATTTTTTCAGTCGCCTCCGCCAGTGTGTGATACTCTGCGATGCGATTTTACCGGATTGTGTGATAAACTCAGTCGACTCTGGAGATGTTTAATATTTTGCGAAGCGATTCTCTCGCATTGGCTAATGTGAGTGATATTCACCAGCAAGTCTCTAAACCATCAAACAATGAATTCACTGCGTTAGGTCATGTGACTGGCTATACAACAGGTGTTCAAATATGGAAGGAGCGCCCTTGTCTTTACGAAGTTTTCTCCAAAACGTAAATGACAAGAGAATTAAAGCCACTTTATTAATCTTACGCTTTCCCTATTAATTCTCGTTACTGCCGCTCTCTCACACACACACAAAACAACTAAAAACTGTCCGTTTCTTCCCGCCATTTTTGTCAGGCAGTGCGAGATACTCTTTCGCAAATAACGAAGTTTTTTGGCACGCGACTCACCTTTTGAAGTGCAACTATCGTATCAGGTAGTGTATAACAGGCTTAGTATTTATTACGTAATCGCATGCGTACAATATTTCCTTCCTTTTTCCGCGGCCGTTTTCTTTGTCTCCTAATCACCTTACATCGAAAAATATATTTGAACAATAAATTACAAGAGAATGAAAACGATTGTGATTCAATAATGGCTACAGTTACCAAACTTTTCCTGAGTGCTTTCTCTTAGATGAATACAGTAGTGTCTTATTTAAAGTCGGTTTTTCTAGCACTTTGCTATCCGAAGGGCAGTCTACAATCTCCTCTACGCTGCTGAGTGCTGATAGTTTATCCTCCTTTCAAAATTAAGAATGGTTATACCTCTACTGTAGGTTGAAAATACCGAATGCCAAATATTTCATTAACCCATAACCTTTCTAGGCAATTTTGTACCATTTTCAATTTTGAAAACGACCGTTTTGTGCTTACAGCTGTCTCTATATCATGCTTGGAAAAGAATTGTTTTCAACAATCAGCAACTATCAAGTCTTTGACGGTAGATACTTGTGTAATTTATTGTCCTTAGAGCTGATCGCAAAGCCAGAATTTTGCTAGGAAATATATTTCTCGGACCTTGCTAAAACTTAGCTTTTGGCTAACTACCACTTGTTATTTGGAAGCTTGAAAATTGCAAGACAATGCTAAATAATTAACATGTTAAACAAATAACGATTATTACTTCGCGCTCACATCGTACATGAATCTTATTTGTGAGAATACTTCTACGTTTTTTAACAATTTCCACTGGATGAAAATAAATCACATTTAAGAAGAAAAAAGGTGTATTTTAACATATCATTACATTATCAGAGAATTGTCTTAGACATATTTATTTCATTGCATTTTCTTCCTGACTGTCTGGGCGTGGTCTAGTGAATAACGTGTTGGGCTTCAGAAAGAAGTATCTGTGGTACTGCTGAATATGCCTTTTGTGGCGGGAGATGCTACTGGCTGGTTAGTAGTACATAATTTAATTAATTAAAATTGTACTCATTTACACTGCGAAAAACAGTTAAAGGAAACTGAAATTATAATATTTAAGCTATGAAAATGCAAAACTCACTATTATAAAATACTATCAGTCATCTTCAGTTCACTTTTATGCATATAAATATCCGACATGCGATTTGAAGTGCGAATGATTGGTCATTTAGCCTATATTCGTAAATGAACATACAGCGTACAGGTCAGTTCGTTCGATCAATCCACTTTTCTTCATGTAATGTATCTACCAGTTTATCATAGTGGAGACAGGCGTTGTCATCCATTAGATTGCAGTCAGAACCAATAGTACCATCATATTGCAACACAATGGATAGTAGTATGTCGCCCCTTTATTCTGTTACATTAATGGCACCATTCCGCAGGATATAAAGTCGGTGCACCAACTAGTGCTTATTCCTGTTCACACCATATTACATGTTTCCACCACTGGCATGTGCGTCACATTCCTGTATGAAAATG